TGTCTCTCATGCACCCACCGACGCTTAAATAGTTTCGGAAAACAGAGCACACCAATTACGTAAATATCTTGCCTCTCTATAAAATTTAGTATGACTGTGATATATTTATTGGTGGAATATAGTTGATGAAGAGGTTATTACCTTCGTTCTTTCTTACCAATAATATGAATGAAAGGAAACATGAAACTAGCCACGTTTTTCAGATAACATTGAGATTTCTTATCACAATTGTCATTTGTAGGCTTCACTAGTAATAATAATAATAATATATTTTTGCATGAACAGGTACATGCCATTTTTAAAGGCAGGATTTACAAATTACAACATTTGTTGGCTCACAGCATACTTCCCAACTTATTAGGTTTATAGTTGCTGTAAAGTAGACTCGTAGAGCGCTTGATGTAACCTATGGCCTCGAGGAGACACGTACGTCAAGTTTGTTTCAGACGTCGGAAGCTCCACAGCTGTGCCCTTAGAGTAAGATTCTGAAGAGAGAAAAAAGAGAAACAGAAGAGCAGCAAGGCACTTGGATACAAAACGCCAAACTTTGCTTAACATTTTGTAGTAGAGCAGACATAGGTATAATGAATTAGAGTAAATTAATAGTATCTCTTGTTAGAGTGAAATGAAGTCAGAGACTCCATATAATAGAAAGTAGCATTAAAGAAGAATGAGTTGTGAAGTTTAACACGTTGGAGTAAGCTCACGTGAAGGAAGGGAAGTCAAGGTGGGTACAAGGAAAGCGGTTTATTAGAAGGGAGTGTGCATAGAGAGGGTGAAGTGTTAAGAATACTGATAACTATATCTTTTATTGTCTATTTTTTTCCTTTTTTCTTTTCCCTTTTTTGTCCATCCAATGCCAGCCACACAATCCTAGTGTAAAAAGTCCGAATTAGCATGTTATAGGTTGTCTTAGAAGAATAGCCAATCCAGCATAGACTTGGAAACTTGAGTCTGAGCGATGAGCGTAGGAAGACAATCTACATCATAGATTGATTGACATTTACCTCATCAGGATTAATCATCCAATTACACAGTGACGCACAGTCTACTGGCATCTAAATAGTGCAGTTTCACACTTATCAACTCTTCTTACAGAAACAGAACAGTGAGGATTTAAGATAATAGGTTCCGTAGACATATTATTTACAAATCCAAAAACGTGTTTGACAACGTGTATTACGAATAGATTTACTCATTTGTTTGCACCAAGCCGTTCTAGATCGGGTTTCTCTTTACGTTGAACAACATATGTGGACGGAAAACCATAGACAATAGTCGTTCCGCAAAGCGCTGTCACGCTTGTATGCTTTTTGGTTATTTTGAACGAAGTGCAAAGTTTTGAAGTTGGTGGCATCACTTCCTTGTGGAAAAAAGGCGAAATTAGAAAGGTAATCTATTATAAATTTGATTGGTTAACTCTCTTAAGTTTTGTTTGGTCATTAGGATCCGTCTTATGAAGGTATGTCACCATATTCCCTAAACAAAATATAATTATCGGACGTTCGTTAAACATGTGAATAATGGATTGTCACTATGTGCAGTCGTCACCAAACAAAGACTCGAGCACAACTCGATGCAGCATCTCAGTCAACTTAACCGCACTGAACTGGGCTTTGGCAAGATTAATGAGACGGAACCTTTGATCAGCAAGCCACGCTGACATGTCGATATACTGCCAGTAAGCGCTGGCCAGATTCATTTCCCGGTGAACGTCGTGGACCCTCTTAGAAAACACCCTTGCTAATAAAATGCTGGCCATGATGAACAAATTTAACAATTTAAGCTATACTCCGGGAGTTTAAGGATCTTTGTTCAGAATAATTTTGAGGTCTCATGGTGAAGGCTGAGATTCTTCGGAAGACATGAGACTGATACCATTTCTAACAACAAGAAGGAGCATTACAAAAGACTAATACAGCTTTCCTTCGACGCACTGATAAACTCAACCAATTCAAGATACTTCCCAACAAAATGTTCTAAGCCTTACAAGATCCAGTAAAAGGAGAAGAAACTACTATGGAGGACAATCGGAAAGAGATCAAACAAGCATAAAATTCAACGTGTCTGGAGGTGTTGGGCCTCAAGAAATATCGTCATAAGGAATAGATCTCCATCGAAACTGTGGACAATATTCAAGAAAGGAAGGACAGAAAGACAGCACTCAACAACAGCCGAACGAGGACAGAGAAAGTTAAGGCACAGATGGAATACAAAGAAACAAACAAGCAAGTGAAGAAGAGCATTAGAGCCAACAGGCAGAAATACGTGGAAGACCTAGCAACGACATCGGAAAAAGCTGCAACAGAAGGAAATATGAGATATCTGTGTGACACAACGAAGAAATTATCAGGGACATATTGTAAGCTAGAGAGACTGGTCAGGTAAGGAATTCAGACGACGGATTACACTTCAAGGTTGTGCATGAAGGACAGCTGACAGACTCATTTCAAGTGAAGGGCGGTGTTTGACAATGTTGCTCAATCTCCCAATTTCTCTTCTTTCTGGTGGTTGACCGAATTATGAAAACCTCGATATTTGACGTGAAGCACGGAGTGTAATAGACAGCATGGAAGCAACTAGACAATTTTGACTTTGTGGATGACCTGTCCCTTCTATCCCATACACATCAACAAATGCAGGTGGAAGCAACCAGTGTGGCAGAAACCTCTGCATGCCTAAAAATAGCATGTACCTGCCCCCGCAGAAATATATTATATTTAGTAGGCTACAATATACACAAGGGTAAACCACCATCCTGAAATTCAACAATGAGAATACCAACCTATTAAAACTTATCGTAGAAGCTCTGGAAGAGATGGAAACTTTCACGTACCCAGTCAGCATCATTGGTAAACAAAGAAGATATATAGCAGGTGTGAAAGCACGGATTGGCGAAGCAAATGCAGCCCTCACTGTTCTGATCTGTAGAATTATGATCTGGTTAGACAGTAGTACACTTATCTTTGCTACTATAATAATAAGCCTCATCTCGAAATCGTAGGTTTGTTATTATGGGACTAACTAATCCATGAGATCTTACGTGGAAATCATGTCATTATCTATACTGACTCGTCCTAGTGATAATCAGCAATATGATGTTCAATACTTCCAAAGAGCACATTTGGGCTAGGGATAGAATAATATATTTAATGCGACTAGTACTAAGCTACATATAGTGACCACTCCTGTAAGGCTGAGCCATGCCACATCGAATTAGTGTTCTCGCTTCATCTTTCACCTTTTCTCAACGTTACACTTCGAATGTAAATCTTCTCATTAATTGTATGTTCGGCTTAAAAGATCGTGTGCTTAAGAACCAGCGTCACTACGTATTCTCCTATTCATCAGAATATGTAAATCAACAAAGGGTTTCGAATATCTCTGTCAAGTATAGGCACATCATATTCCACTTTCTCATGCTGTGTTTAGCGATTGTATTTTCTAATCAGAATAAGTATTGTTTATATTATCACTTGATTGAATAAAATAGAAACTACATCTTTCCACTGATTGCTGCTGCAGAGCTAGTGCGGATCAATCAGACTATTACCCTTCTTGATAAAGACTGACGGCCTAGCTCAGAGCTAACAGCAGCCGAATAACAAACATGTTATCATGTTCGGACTCACAGAGTTCGGAACAAATCTCTTTATGGTTGAATGCTCAGTAAATCTTCCGAATCATGATATACACTTTTTCTATTTGGATCATGTAATACAAACCTATTAACTGTCTGGAATCGTCGGGCCTATAATTGGGTCTTAGGTATTCTGTTCAGATAGGCCTCCTAGGTTTATTATGAGATTCCCTGACCAAAGCTCAACCTAGAAGCTATTATTCAGCCTTCGATGATATGGCTTGCGGGATATCTATGAACGAAACCACAAGCCACCAGAGTTCATCTCATTCTGTATGATTTCGATCTCAATAAAAAGTGGGATGTTGTAAGTGTAAATCCTTGGACCGCTGTGTTGTATTCCAGGTGCCTCTTCCCACTGGTATCATGAAGCAACAAAGTATACCATAAATTGGGGTTTCTTCCCAGAATATTACGTAGCATTTAGAACGGCTTTCATTGTTTACTCGATAGCTCACCCGGAGAAGCACATCTGCACAATATCTTCCAACCTTGAGAACGATATTGCCTTCTTGAAACGTGTTTAAAAAAAGGAAAGTAAGGTGTTGGAATCAAAAAAATAAAGTATACATACCTCGTCTGAAAGCTTTATATTTGCAATTTGTGAAACACAGAAGGATTAAGGAGATATAAACGTTATGTGTCGTACCACTGACAATCTTTTCCATCACGAAAGATCGGTTATGCATTTTAGTACTAATTTTTACTTATGAGGACTTCTATTTATTCTAAAACACGAAATAGCCCGTACAAAATCCGTGCAAACACTTCGTTTCCGTAATAAATCAACTTCGCAACTTCTTACCAGAAATGACTGCGATTTCGTCTTTAAGAGAGTTTTTAAAAGGAAAGTTCAATGTTTACTTTAGTTCTGTAGGTACTGGAGGTGTTCATCTTTACAATTTATTGATTAGGTTTTCCCCTTCAGTAACAAGAGAAGCATATTTTCTCATCGTTAAGAACGCTCTCCTCTAATAAAGATGCAGATCCCATGGAGCATACACTTCACGTTTACTGTTATATAAAGTTTGGAAGTAAGAAGCTTGAGACTGTTATTATTATAACCAGTCGTGTTCTCGTGATGAATGTGAGTCACTACAAGACATTGAATATTGAGGCAGAATTCTATTGACGAGGCACGAATTCGATTATTTTGCTGGTTACTGTTTTCTAACCATCTCATGGAATGATTGTAACAGTGCAATATATACCTGTCAATTATGAAAATCTAGTTTATTGACGTTCAAAGTATTTTGTCAGATATAATATTATTAGCATCATTCCCAACAACATTCTGTCATAATATAAAAATACGTCTAATTTCACTGTTTAACCAAACTTCTGATGTCAAAGATAGCCCATGGATAAAGGCAAAGTAATATTGATACCAGGATTACCAGGTTGGGGCTTGACTGACGGGTACTGGGAAAGTGCACTAGACAGTTCTATTTTCCCCACTAATCTTTCAGTTTCGTCTGTTGACCCAAGTCCTATAGCTTCCCATCACGACAGAGCTTGCGAAATATTTGCGCAGATAACCGGTACGTTGGTGGATTATGGATCAGGACATTCACAATTTTTCGGACATTCCCGCTGGGGTAAGGATTATAGTAAAATACCTCCACTGTACTTAGAATGGGGGCCTTCAAATCCCGTTCACCTTGTGTGTCATTCTACTGCTATAAATACAGCCAGAGTTCTTCAAAGGCTTCTCGAAATCGATTTTTGGAATAAAGGAACCAGTGCTAAGTGGATTTTGTCAATTACGTCCATTAATGGTGCACTCAATGAATGTGCACTATCAGATGTGATTAACAAAGAAATTTTACGTCTGATTAACGGAAAATTTTTGTGCAAAGAATGCAAAAATCTTGGATGTTCAGCTTGTATTCATATAAAGGTTCAGAAGGCAGCAAAAATACTTCGTCGAGGTGTCATATGGGCAGCCATGTCAAAACTAAAACTAGACTCTGAACAACTTAATCGAGCTTTAAACTGGTCCATAGATCACTGGGTTTCTGATACTAGTAATAGTCTTCAATTTCTGTCTGGGGAGGAAGTTTTGAGCAAGTTAAATTCTATTTTGAAGTGTGGAATGTTTAGTTCGGGTGATAACATAATTTATGACCAGACGCCGGAGGGTATTTTGAAGCTTCAAGAAATTCTCCACAATTCATCGAATATTAAGGGTTCCTTGAAGCGTGTTCCGGATTTCATCTACAATGATACATTTTATCTTTCTCTATTTTCCAGTGCAACTGTGTCGTCTACTCTTTACATACCCTCTGAAATGTCGCCGATATTATGGCCATTTTCTGCTATCCTTTTAGATAAAACTAATGACAACTGTCTTGATGATCATACAAAGGAAGCAATATATAAGATACAGAAAATAAGCACCGATGTGGACCCATTAAGAGACAATGATGGTCTGGTTACTGTAATAAACCAGTGTATACCGCGTGGAGCTGAATCATTTGTTGAAGTGTTTCCAAAACAAGAATGTTTGTTGTCACTTCATGAAAGTATAAAGCCCGGAGTATGGTACATCGACAATGTAAATAGATGGATCGATGGAATTCAGAAAAACGAGTCTCATCTTGATGTCGATTGTGAAAATACCAGTAAAACCAGTTGCATATCTAATAAAAGAAGGTTCAAATTTCTGTGGGACCATTTTGATGCTTGTTGGTCGAGAACTCTACTCAAATCATCTCAGGAACAAGTACCTATTGATTTTCAAAGATCACTTTATCGTAATGTATTTTCATACATTTCCTTTGTACACTTTTTCTCTAATAACTCTTCTAAGTAAAATAAGCTTTTTATTACTTATTTGTGTTCTACTGATATATTTTATCTAACCAAAGGTTCTTTCTCCAAAAGTAGTTTACGAGCGACCTGAATTTATTGAATCATGACTAAAACGCAAAGTACACGGTATATAAAAAGATGGAATTTATATACTAATTTTTGGACTATTTTAATAATAATATATTTGTTGAAAACATATTGTCTTTGACTGCATTTCGACTTTTAACTAATTCGAACTTAAGCTGTTCAGGTATATTGAGTGTTATTTTTCCTGGCTTTTGATATTATAATCGACTTTGTGCTTCTATTTTTTGTAAGAACTAACATTTATAAGTGTACCATACGTTATTTCATGATACAAGAATATGAAACAGCACGAAAAGCGAAGTCAAAAAGGAAGAATTCATAGAAACAGACAGAGATATAAACATAAATGGTCAATGAGGAATTTGATGTGGAGTAGTGAAGAACTCAGATACTAATAAATATGAAGAGATAATATAGCTGACTCGTGGATTTGAAATAACACGAAATTTATTATTCTATATGATACAAAAGGGGATAAGTACGACCGTTTAAGATATTTTTTGGTTTTTTTTAATAGTCTTTCCAGGAATCGATTCATTATATGTTTTATACAGTAAACGGAAAACTCATGTGTGTTAACCTAATATAAATGAACTTCATATGCCTAGTTTAATATCCTATTAGCTGGTTTTTGCTTCCAATAACGTCATAACAGACGTTCCAAATTAGGATAAACTGTCATTTAGACTGTTACATTTTTCAAATGAATGACTCATTGAGGGTTCATGCTCCCATTTTGTTACCCGCGTTTTTAATTTTAAAGTGCACCTTACTCATGTCTTTCACCACAAGTAATCAATGTCTAAAAATATCTACTATTGAATACCTATTTTCTACGCAAAGTGCCTAACATCATTTCTCAATTTCCAAGACATTAGTTTATAACAAAGTAGCCTAGAACAAATAATACTATCACTCAGATGGGTATTGGAATATCTAGCTGGAATCCAGAACTTAAGTAATTATCAAGTATCAGTAAGGAGCGGCTTAAAACTATAGATTTTTTATAAAGTAGATTGAAACATTTATTGTATATTAATGCAAAATCTCTATAAAGCTCCAAAATAGTTCCATTTTTCTAACCTATCGACAAGTAAATGGTTCAATTGGGAAGATTTTGAAGGCTCAGTTGCATTTATATTTTTGATTATACTAACTCTGAGAATATAATATTATTCGGTTGTGAATAGTTGACTAGTTATTTATAACACTTACTATGTGAGATAAAACCGTTGGACCAATCTACCAAGCTATTCCATTTCTTACATGCCGTTTATTTTGAACATTTCATGACAATTGTGAACCAACTATCAGATATATTTTTTATTTAAATACACTTTAGTGAGTAGAAAAAGTTTTTATCTACTCCAGACTAGTTTACCAATCAGATGTATTTATTTATGTTTATTTTATTATTTGGAAATAAAAACTAGTAAGATTACTTCCCTCTTTTCATAAAGTTAGTGGATGTATGTATATGCAGTGCTCAGTACAGAATGTCTGATTTTCGTGTCTGTTCACTTATCGTGTTGATTATAATTATGAAAATCGCAGATAACACCTTGGATTGAATGTTGATACACATAATTGTAGTGTCAATCTATTTTTGAAATGTTTTTGTCCCTTAGAACATATATCGCTGAAAATAGACATACTAACTAACAGTAAGATGAAAGTGTAAAAACATTTATTTGGATTACTCCTAGTTGCTTTTGTACATAGTTTATAACATCAGCAAAATATTAAAGAACTAATAGAAATCCACAGCTACTGAGTACATGTAATGCTTTATCTTTGGCTAGATGCTTTTCATTCATCGTTGCAAGTCATTTGGTGAACATAGGAACCTAGTTAACTAAGAGGAAGTGATTGTAATTATAATTTAAGAACTTGATCAATAAAACCTCGAAAATATATAAACTTTATTAAATTCATCTTATATTAGATTCAGTATATTCAAACTCTAGAGAACCGCAAAGAAATTTTGAATGCTATGCACTCTTGTTAACCTCTTTGCATATTGAATAATGCTTCTTGAATAAACGTAAGAGTATCAAATAATTATATAGGTTTATATCCCAGTATATGGAATAAAACCACTCTCTTTTCTTTTCCTTATGTTGCTGAAAAACAGACTCATTTTTTATCCCTTGGACATTTTTGCATCACATGGCCATCTGTGCAAATTATTCACACCGTCTTGATCTGGTGGTCGAATATACCTGTTATGGCCACCCAGTTCAAATATGTGGGCTGAAAACCCCGTTTATTCGGGTCGACAATGCCATAGAAGTTGACTAGCAGGTGTGAAAACTGATGACATCAGCAAAGTCCTCCTGTCAGCCGTACTCAAGTGTGATAGCAGTGAGTCTTTCGTTTCAGATAGCGAGCATCTACGACAGTGCTTCTTACAACTAAGGGAGATGGAAAATTTCAGTTCTAATAAAGACGCACCTCACTTTGCTTCGTGAATCCCCATCGCCCACGGAGGTAACAAATTAAAACCTACTTATAGAAGTACCATATATGGTCAGTTGCGGTCAACTGTCCCTTGGGCACCATGATGAAGCTCTCATGTTTCCGACACCACTACTAAACTGATTTCCTCTTCAAATCCTCCGGGACAAAGTTCCTTTCAACGGTGTGAGCGGTCAGGAAGTGACAATCGCCCTCATATCTTTAACAGCACTTAAAGTAGCCTTGTTTGCAACTAAGTTCCTTCCTTGTTCACTTTAAAATCAGTTGATCTATTTACGACCTAAAATAAACCCCCTCAATACCAATTTTTATCTTTAATTACTCTTCTAAATTTAGTTGACCCAAACAGGTATGTAATGATTTATAATTTTAAGTCATAGAAGTGTCATATTATAAAGAATGATAATCTGATTTCACATTACACTAAGAAATCAAATATTACTAATAACTCTAAACAGTTATTATTAAAAATAGTGTAAACATTGATATTTCATTCATAGCGTAGACATGAAAGTTGTAGATAATGGTTGGATTTTGGAAATATCCTTACTTAATAGTCACAGCTTAGTATAGCATTTATTCCTGACTGATAATTTCACAGATATTTCTCCCTTGATCAACAGATAAAATGACCTATGATAACAAAGAATTGCAGTCCCTTTAATTGCAACTTTTAACTGTTCTATATGATGTATTTTGGGAGTGTTTCTTTGTAAATCATGCCTAATCGATAGAGAATAAAATGGTGTGATAAATAGTATAGCCATGGATGTATGATATTGCTTTTATCCTATTCAAATGCATGAAGGTTCGATTACTCTAGGGTTAAAACAAACTTTTTTGAATTAGATACAAATACTTTAGAAACATGGTACAAAACTAGAAAAAAAACACTGAATATCAAAAAATTCATATTATTACAACTTCCAAAAGCTAACTAAAATCCTATAATCACTCAAAACAACTACAGCCTGTTCGAAATATTTAATTTTTTATTACTTCGATAATCAGTGTTAACTAGACTGGAAGGATGGGCTAAATGATTTATTTGAACGCTATTTTAATTTCTGAGATTATTATTTCAAATACAATTTTTACATTCAACACTATTTCACTCCTTACAAATGCTTATTTCAAGAAAACAGTAAACTTTTTGTGTAAAAGGTAAACAGTACTATTTTGAACAATTCGACCCGTGATTTCAACATTTAATTCAGATTTAGTAAAGAATTTACACGAGAAAGAGCAATAGGCTAGTCATAAGGGTTTCTGTTAGTAAACTACTTCATAATTAAATTTAAGCATACCGTACTTTATTTTTGTGATTGAGTGATCTCATCTATACATGAGGTCTATGAGTAATGTTCTCATTATCTGTGATTGTTAAAGCTGCAATTGTATTATTATTCTTGAGTCCCTTAAGTATTATATGCCGACAAAATTTATACTAGAATTGGAGAGTGACTAGGAATTTCACTTTCTAGATACTTTGTTAGGAAAAATCTAGGTTAGAATATTCAGACAACAGTTTACTCTGGTATTTCTGAATTTATGCTTTAGTAAGTATAAAGCGGAACATAAATCACTTGTTATTCTTGACAGTATAATTGAATTGGTCTGGTTGTACAACTAACGGTAAATTGAAGGAACTAGAAAAAGTACCTATCAAAAATAAATGCTCCCTTAGATTCACTAATAAGAATTGGTAACCATAACAGTTTCTTCTCTGCAAAACCAATAGGGACTATTTAATAGAAAACCAAACTTTGGATTTTTCATAATAATGATGTTAAAACGATTGGTAATATTAAAGGCGAGTTAAAAGTACCTGATGAAAGTAAACTGATTGTACACCGACCAATTAGGAGAGACTTTTTGTTGCTTATAAAGAATTATTAGATTGATTGGTAGGTACATTAAATATTGTTACACAAGTAATTGTATTTTATGAGATAAAATATATGAATCAGCTCCTTCACTTGTGATATTGTCAACAACAAAAGAACATTACTCTCCATAACAAGATACTACCAATTATCTGTTAGGTAATAGACAGAATGTCTATTTTCACTTGGTGTTCTTTACTTGTATCTTCCCATTGTTATTTAGGACTGCAATTGATCAATCTCTTGTTGGCATATGTGCTTCCTGTGCGGACTGCCTCGATATTGCCTGAAGTTACAAGCTTTATAAGCAAAGATGGACAGCGTCTAGCGATAGGATCCATGACGCGTGTTTCGTCCTATTTGGGACTCGTCAGCTGGATGTACCTGCATCCCAGAGTTGATGCTCACTCCGGAACTCAAACTCAGTACCGTGCTGATCAATTACAGTCCTAAATAACGATGGAAAGATAAAAGTAAAACAACACCCGGTGAATTCAAACTTCACCCCGTTGCACATGCAGGTGGCCATCCGGACTCAGTAGCTAAGTGGATAACGCGATGGCGTTCGAAGCGAATGGTACTGGGTCCGAGTCTCAGAGTGAACATTAGTTCTGGAATGCAGGCACATTCGGCTGACGAGTCTCAAGATAGTACGAAACGCGAGTCCTGGATCCTAATACTAGACACTATCCATCTTTGCTTATAAAAAATGTCTATTGTTATCATTTGGAAAGATACAAAAATATCGATCGACCCGATCAAATCAGAAAACTTCAACTTTGAATTTAGTAATGATTTAACAATTCAAGTGTCTTGACGAATAAAATACATGTTTTTTATAAAAAACGTTGGTGACTAACAAAATTTGAGCAGAATATCCTTTGAAAAAAAACTTATTGTTTCATATAGTTAACATAATTATCATTAAAATTACTTAATTGATATTATGATATTATATTGGCAACTACTCAGTAAATTACACAAAATCAATCCTAAAATAAACTAGAACTAATTTTTGTCAATACTACTACTACTACTACTACTACTACTACTACTACTAATAATAATAATAATAATAATAATAATAATAATAGGCACTTTGTTTTGCACCTACTGAATGTACTTTTTGTAATTACATTACGTTGTATAGAGACTTGACTAAATGGATGGTTATCTTTAATTGATGATAAGTATATTGAATTATCAAATAATTTATAAATTTACATTAGAATATGAGTTTTATTTTGTTAACAAATCACGTATCATTTTAAATTCTATAAAATAATTGTAATTTAACATAAATCTAATAGAAGATATTATCAAGCTATAATAACATAATAACCACTTTGAAATAAACAATTTCTTTTTCAAATGCTGGGAAAAGAACCATTGTTTCGTTGAAGAAGAAGAAGAAGAAGAAGGAGAAGAAGAAAAAGAAGAAGAACAGAAAAAAGTCAGCAAAGAAAGTCTTTTCAATGGTTTAATTTACTTAAGCTACACAATTATATTGGTAATTCATTTACTTTAAACAGTTTGAGGTCATGAGTCAGTTGAAGCTAGACGACCATGGAAAACCTGGAAGCACTGTACGGCCGTTTCATCCTATTGTGTGACTCTTCAGCAGTGCGCATCCACGACCCCGCCTGCTCAGTGGCCTAGTCGGTTAAGCGCCTGGCGCGAGGCCGATAGGTCCTGGGTTCGAATCCCGCGAGGAGGGGTCGTGGATGCGCTCTGCTGAGGATTCCCACAATAGGATGAAACGGCCGTCCAGTGCTTCCAGGTTTTCCATGGTCGTCTAGCTTCAATTCACTCATGATCTCAAACTGTTTAAATTACTACAATCTCCACAAAACCCCTTCTTAAATTAATTTACTTGACAAAAGTAGTAGTCTGTATTAAAGTAGTATGATGTTGAGTAATTAAAAAGGAAACTTGAATTGATATCATGTTGTAAATTGTTTACAAAGGTTTGATATTGAAAGGAAGTTTTGTAATAATTCAACGGTGAGTGGAAACATGAAGGTAAAAATAGTTATTCATATGGTAGATATCAAAAACAAAGTAATTTAAAGTTTTAATAATGTCCAATTAATAGCTATGAAGTGACTGAAAAGGATCAGACAAAGAAAATAAAAAAGGCAGAAGATAGAAAAGAAGGTTAAGACTATGATAGGAAGGATTGAATATATTGTTTTTGTATACAAACGTTAGAGTTGAGTTAGTTGACAGACAGACATACCCTCTGATGCACATATGTTTCGCATCCATATTCCCTTAGAAGCAAGTTTTCCGACTATGAATAGTTTTGAAGGATTTTGATAAAGTAGTGACCAGAACTAACTAGGTATTGATTGACTTTTGCAGTCCTTTAAAAAGTTAGGCAGGGTTATGTTCGGAGATGTATTTCGAAAGTAATCACTTTGTGCGGCCAGTCTAACCTGTTCCATATGAGGAAGTAAACTGATGGATGTATATCAATTTGAGCCAAATTGGGAGCCTGTTCTTTATACAATTATGAATCTTTTTTGCTAGATCCCTCGATATTATATATATAATGATCAGTTGATTTCATTTAAGCTGTAAAACTTAAATTACAATCAGTAGTTCCATCTATAAAATTTAAACTGTTGACAATCCTAACAATTTTATCGAGGCTTATTTAGATGATTATTAACTATTTCATAAGTTTTTTTTTAACACTTGAATATCTTAGAAGATAAATGGATTTGGAATTTTTCAATAATAAAAGGATGCTTAACTTTGAGAATAATTATTTTAGTTAAATAAACATAAACTGAGACGAAGGATAGTTTTTCAACTTTCAAAGTTGAATTCACTACAAAAAAGAAGTTTACCCCAGTCAATTTCCTTAAGTAGAAAGGAAATTCTAATAAACAATATGTCTGAAAGTGAATTAGATAAACATCGAAGAGTACTGGAAAGAAACGAATCCACAAGAGGATTTATTGACCAGAATTCTTAAACGGAAAGTGTTACTGAACGTAATCATTTAATCTCTCCAAAGGATATTGCTAACATCTTCAATTCAATGATTAAAATATTTTATGCCAGTTTATGTTAAAGTCTTTAAATTAAATCAGATGTATGACCGATTTCTCCATTGTATCTACATGTAGAGACCTTATTCATTAACAGCCTGATATATATCAGTTAATCTTTTTTAACATGTGAATTCACTGGTAATATAATACTCTTTCTTATATTATGTGTTAATACATCCTATCCTGTTTAGTTGGTTAATGAAAGAACTTATATGAACTACTTAAGTGGAGTAGGGATAAAGTATCTGAGAAAAGAGCAGTTATGAAATCAGAAATTCAAAGTATTGTAATGCATACGGAACAAGTAATATAACTTTAATTAATACATATAATCTAACATACAAATCGACATATCAGGTAATCTTATTTCGTTTATAAATCAGACATTTATTTCTCTAGTCTTAGTTACTTTTGCTCATTTCTACTTCATAATTTTAAGTAAAGAGAAGTTTATCTGGTAGTCAGTATCAAAATAATTGACTGTAAGTGTCATGTCAATCTGATTGAACATCACTACAATAATTAGTGTAAATTTAATGCATGATCAGAAGAAATTTCCTGCAATAACTAATTGTAGAACGTGTTAGTTATCTTCCAGCTACCTTTATCAACCTAAAATCAAAGTACACTATGATGTTGAATCACTTAAACCAGTGATTACATTGGATTCACTATTAAGAATTAAACATTATGATATAAATCACTGTTAAGGTTTATTATATTTCATCATCTTACATATTTATTTATTGATTAAATGTTTTATATGTATGTCAGTAACAATGACAATAATAATAAGTTGCTTTCATTCTAGAACATTTTGTCTATTTGTTTTACTAGATCAATATCCACCTTAATCATTAATATATATAACTATTGATTTTTTGATTGGTAACATAGCAACAGTATAATTCTAAAGCTTAAATAATATGTACTTAGAAGCAAATTGTTCAGTATTTCATTATGTGATACAATCAAGCTTTATTTTCAAACGTGAATAGGTTTGATAACACTTTTTCTTTTTCATGAATCAGAAAATGAATATTACTGTTATTATTGTTACTTACAGATACACTTAAATTCGATCAATTATCTGTTATTGTGTAAATTAACCAATGAACACTAGATGTGTATTTAAATCGAATTATATGTTAAACATTGGCTAATTCATTGTCTAATTATATTACTATCTTTCATATTAGGTATTAATTATGATTATTCATATTATGATTACCATCATAAGTGGTTAACTAGAATTTAGACACAACTAGAAAAAGACAATCTTCTGATGATCTCTTTATTTCTTCGTTCTCTGTATTAATAATGAACAAAATATGGGTCATTTTGTTTAAACAAAATTGTTGTCATTTATTTCAATCATTATTAATATTATTTTTACTGCTAGTGATTAGTTATACTCTGATAGGGTATTGTTTCAAGAGGTTTTTGAATTTAATGACATTAATAGACTGTGATAAACTAACTGTCGATTGTCATATTATTATCAAAAATTTATTTATTTGTTTGAACACATAAATACTGGTACAAGGAGGCACCAGATACATATGCGCCACACAAATCTCATTTGATATCTGTGAGGGCTGTGATACTGCCCGGGTGACCAAACCGAAGCAGGTGGTTTTTTTAGGGGGCAACTCCCCGAGCCTCCGACCTAAAGGGCTGATCCACAAGACAGTGGAGCATCGTGAGGAGATGCAGTCCCATGGTATCCGGTGACCAACGATTTGTTCATACGCCATTTTTTCCCTCAGGGTACTGGAGCCCATGTGCACCATTGGTTTGGAATCCGGTTAAATCACCGGGCATTCGCTTTTCGTCCTCTCAATTTCGTAAACAACATCCCCGCCACGAGAAGGCAATGAGTAGGACTTCCCTGGCATGTGAGAGCATTTCGAGAGGGAGAGCGGACTCTCCACACCCTCGGCCGTACCAGGGCATTTGGGGGCATTATTAAACCAAAAAGTTTTGTATTTCTACAATGAACCAATTGCTTAAGTTCTTGCTAGTAAAGTGGTGATTGTTCATTGTCGATAAGTTTGAAAGTATATGTAGAAATGTCATGGATTTCTGTTTGCCCATACTTGTTGGCAAAACTGTATTATATTTTAGAATATGACAAGTAGTAGAATCTAGAACACACATTCTGTCCCGCATTTGCATCTTTCAGACTGATGTACTTCCATCCAGAATATCAATAAGAACACAACTTTCAAGAATAATACTAGATACGATATTTACTGAACAGATTAGTGGAGGTTTGTAATTAGCTTAGTGAATAATGAGCTGCCTTTGAAGCGATTCTAAATGGATTTGAGTTGTAGTATAAATATTAACACTGAGATTCGGGTGAATCAAGCGAATGTCTCCCAAATAAGATGAGAAGCGGATCCCGAATTTTACTGTTAGCAACAATTCAAAATATGATAAACTCAAAGATACATATTGTACCATAAAAACACATCTGAATCATTTGGCCCCGAGTTTATAGGCATCATCAACATAATTTATTTAACATAATTACCTAAGTTTACATATAGTTATTAATCATAGTTTAATTTCTTTTTTTTTCTTGTTTTAGGGAAAGTATCACTGGACTGAGCACATAATACCGTGAAACACTAAAAGAATTTTTGAACGTAGTTTACCTTTCGTTGAAAGTATGGTAGTTTTTTAAAGAAAAAGAAAAACAACCACTTATCCTCTCTTATATTGATTAATAAAAAACTCGAGTATCATTTAGCTCATTTATTTGATCTTGTACTTTTATGAAATTTGTCATATATACTATTAAGGTTTTATGTAGAAAAGTTCATTATTTTTAAATGATAATAATGCTACGAAAATATAAATTCACTCATCGAATCCAGCTAATTTTCAATGATTTGTTGCCGGCTCAATGGTCTAGAGGTTAAGCACGAGACTGATAAATCTCGGGTTCGGACCTCACGGGGCAGGATCATGGGTGCGCACCGCTGAGGATTTCCATACTAGGATGAAATGACCGTCCAGTGCTCCCAGGTTTTCCAATGATGGTCTAGCTTCAAACGGTTCATGAATTCAACTATTAAATTACATAATTGATGGATTTAAAATCGTTATTATTATTATTATTATTACCATCCTCATCACCATCGTTTCAGTGGAATGAGTTGTTTACTTAGGTTAATTTATTGACAATGAGTTCATTTATGATAAAAATTATGCCCAAACCAAAATACTTTATTAAAATATTCCTGGTAGGTCTTATAATAATCTATTCGAATTTATTTTCCAAACTATACAATCATTTCCATATTAAATATTTATGTATATAAAGAAATATACTTTTATGATGTTATCGATGAAAAAATTAATTAAGAAGCGTTAGTGATCTGATAACCATGGTTACTCTGACTATTGATTGGAAACAATATTGCAAAATGATTATATACTAGTGCTGTACTTTTAAGTGTGCACAGATAGTTTGCATTTACTTATTATGATAGCTATTTTGTTTTTACTTCTAGTCTGAGCCATGTTGGTAGATGCAGACTACTTGGTTGGAGTCCGCGTGACTTGCGTAACCAATGGTTGGAGACTCTTGGTGACATGGCTCAGAATCGATCACAATGGTGTCTTCCCTTAAACTAAGAGATTAAAATCACTTCATATCTTTCTTTCTACTAACTAATTCTTTCTTCCTATACTATATCCTTATTGCAATCTTTCTCTTATATATTACCACCTTTGACCTAACCACTCCTATGAATCCGCTGTTCATCTTGCTGTGCTAATGAGGTATGGCAACCTGGACCGATGCACATATGTGCCTGGTCCTACGTTGTAGCTGACTGACTGACTGACTTTACTTCAAAGTATTTTATTAGACTGAAATCAAAGCGACTAGTTTCATTTAATCTATGAGTAATTTGCTACTCAAGATGTTATATCAAGAGAAAAAAAGAGATTATAATAAACACTAAAATCATCTTAAAAGCGAATATAATAATGATAATAAGTTGATAAGTAGTAAATCTTATTTATGAAGTGAGTTTCAGATTACTAAAAACAATCTAATATACTTTGTTTATATTTACGAACGTATTTAAAATAAAAACTGGTTGTTTTGTGCAATTAGTTAGAAGGAGTACCATGTTATTCACTAATGTACCTTTTTCCAATAAAACCTAGAAATCAACTCTTATTGTTATCGTAATATGACATTTTAATTATCTATGCGTATCAAAATCCTTCAAATTTGTCGAACCATCGTTATTAATGATATAGAATATAGATTGTTTTGAATTATTTTATCTTTAGATTTAAGCGAAAATCTCTTGAAGAAATAACAAATTTTGATAGTTGATATCATAAGTCAATTAAAGCTAGACCACCATAGATAACCTGAAAGCACTGGACAACCGTTTCGTCCTATTGTGGCACTTCTCAGCAGTTGTCTAGTGGTTAAGCGCTCGCGCGCGAGACTTATAGATCTTGGGTTCGAATGTCGTGAAGCGGGATCGTAGATGCGCACTGCTGAGGAGTCCCACAATAGGACGAAACGATTGTCCAAGGCTCTTAGGTCTTCCATGATGGTCTAGCTTCAAATGACTCATAATCTCAACTACTAAATTACTATAATATCCACAAAAACGCCTTGTGATATTAAATAAAAGATTGTTGAATGGTTCACCAGTCAATTTATTAGTCTAAATGGATAAATTTTGACTCTATGACCATGTCAAACAAAACTGTAATAAGTAATGATGAGATTTATCGAAGAGGATAACAATGGCATAACTATGTGAAATACAAGTGTCATTTTTTAAAGAAAATAAAATTCTCAAGCCATTGGAAATAATTTGAAATCTCTCTTTTTCTCTGTCTCAATATGTTCAGTTGTAGTTTCACGACTATCTTAAAATGACTCGAGTACATTGCTAATTGTTGTTGATTTCTTTTATTTGTTAACTTAATGCATACTATGGCCTCACTGAGTTAATGGTCTACGTTTTATTTCGCCATTTACTCTTACAGGTTTTTATGTATACACGTTTATGTTTACATCAATTTCCCAACAACGTAATTCATCCGAACGGGAGGTAAGCTTATCAATGGCTGAATGTTATAACTCAATGTATAGCTTTTTTTAAATATCATGTATAATTTTTGGGCATATCTAAGATGGAACCTGTTCAAAATAAGCCATAAAACATGAAAACACTAAACATTTGGAATTAACTATATGAAAATGATCGAAATAACAGGTGATCGATGTATTTTGTTAAGACCGAACATATCAATAGTGTACCCAACTTCTTTTGAAATTATACGATTAAACTATGTAAACTATCATATAAGATATAAAAAGAAATAAGATTTTTCACTATTTTTCCATGTAAAGAATTAGATTATTATTTTGATCAACATAATCATGAAACCATGGGATTGTTAGAATTCATCACATGATATAGCTTGCAACTGCCAACCAGATCATAATTATATTCCCAAACTCTATGAAATTTTATCAAAACAATATAATTTACAGAAGAATAAATCATTTTTCAACAATGTTATTGTTACTATGATGTTATTATTAGAAGAAAAAGAAAACAACTATCGTTTTACGAAACAACAAAGTCGGTAAATACTCTATTACTAGTGTTCACATTTAACAATATTTACAGTCGGTGAACTACGATAAATTAGTATACAATGTCTACTAATGTATGGCTTGAGTTATTTTATTATTTTTAGCTATTTTATTAAGATTATTTTCATCAGGAATGAATATCAGCTGAAGATTATTGAAAACTATGGAACGCTGAATATTTAGTTGAATTCCCAGCAGATGATACCGGGTTCGAGTCTCAGAGTGAACATCAATTCAGGGATGCAGGTACATTCAGCCGACGAGTCCCGAATGGGTTGAAACATGCATCCTGGATTTCACTGCTAGTCATTATCCATCTCTGCTTGCCATGCTTGTGGCTTATTGGCAATATCGAGGCAATTCTCACAGGGTGTACATAAGCTAAAAAGACTGTTCTAAACGTCAATGGGACAATTCAAACAACCAATACAAAAATGAATTATTTTCATCTCGTTACTTGTAAAATACCAAAAGTAGGAAATTAATTTGAGATGGAAGTAAAAACATTAATATTTGTTTATTAAATGAACATTGAAATTGGATAATTGGCTAACCAGTGTAGAATGGATCCCATTAAAATAGACAATTCAAAAACGTATAGATCATAAATACAGACCACTGATGTGTGTTTTTAACTGTTTGTGATTTATTTGCGAGATATAAGTTTGTATATTATACAGTTTTTTTATTTATGAACTCAATTCTCCAATTCCTGAATAAGATATTATTTTCACATAGGAGAATACTTACTTACTTACGCCTGTTGCCCCACATCGTGGAGGAGCATGGGCTCACCATTAGCATTCTCCATCCAACTCTGTCCTGGGAAATGTTTTCCAATTGATTGCAGTCGCTATTCATCCTTTTCATGTCTGCTTCCAATTCATTGATCTCCCTCTTTTCCGTTTCCCTTCAGGATTCCATGTTACGGCTTGCCTCATGATGTTGTTTGATGTAATGTATGTAATGTATGCCCTCTCCACTTCCAACGTCTTCCCCTAATTTCCTCTTCAAATGGGAGTTGGTTTGTTCTCTCCTTCTAAGATATTCTGTAATTTTATGTTCAAATACATTCGATTGTTCCCACTTGTGTTCTTGTTCACTGCACTAGTTTATCTCAGAGTTTTTACTCAGTTTCTGCAGTCTGTACCGAGATTTTATTGCCTGAAGTTAAATAATAACTTTTTGTATTATAAGTGTTCAGGAGCCTACAGGTTTTGTAGATAACTTCTATATTCTCTTACGATACGTTACTGAGTGGGGCCTGACGATAGAAAAATCACTTATCTCTATGTCCTAACGTCTCGCTCGATAGCAGAAAATTTATGTAGTATTCTTTTTATGATTAAAACTTATTACTGAGCTAAAATATAACTACTGATATACATTTTCAACTAGCATGAAACTAGGGTGGAAAATGATTGAATAATACCAATTAATCTCTAAATTGGTTAATCCTTACAATTTAACTTTTTATGTAGATGAATTGTGAGTTTTAAGTTCACTAAACCTTGGAGAAGTTATTATAACCAAATATCACAAACCAGAATTTATTTAAGCGAATAAAAGCTTGAATAATCTAAGGCTATCACAAAGGCTCCCTGCAGATTTCAATTTACTATTACATTCAACTTGAATCTTTCTAATCCACATTAAAAGTTAATGTCATCCACTATTTGAATAACAACTCTTTTTATGACAACCTTCATTACATCTCTTTCATCAGTTTTAGTATACTATTTCATAGTTCTTGTCTGTATTTTTAACTTTTCATCATAATTGTTTAAAAGGTTATATGTCTGAAATTGTAATTTCACTGTTTACTTGAAAATAAAAATAATAAAATTAGTTTCAGAAGAGAGGTTTGTGGAGATTTTAGTAATTCCAATAGATGAAATCATAAGTCAATTGAAGCTAGACCACCATGGAAAACCTGGAAGTACTGGACGGCCGTTTCATCCTAGTGTGGGGCTCCTCAACAATGCGCATCCACGATTTCGCCCTGCTGGATTCGAACCTAGGACCACAGGACCTTAACCTCTAGACCGCTGAGTCTACATCCAACCGTGTTAATATCTAACTTCAACCGATTCACGAAATTGCACCACCGTCCACTATTGTTTTAGTTTCATTGTATATCTTCCTATTATTAATATCACTATCAAAACAAAGATACTTAAAAATTATTATTTTATAAAAAGGGGAATTTTCACTATTTATTCAAACCATAAACTTAATTACTAGAATTACCATCCATAATTATTAAATACTGCTCCATATCATTAATTTACTTGGTAGTATCTCTTGTATTTATATGTATATATTTAGACATAACAGACTTTTGTGTAGGACGGAATAGTATAGAGAATTTTAATTTTACGAGCATAGTCTGTTTGGTAATTCTGTCTATTTCCATAGTATATTGTTTGAGAAAGGACTGTCTTTATTATACACATTGTCCCCTTTTGAAAAGAGCTCTTTTTTGTCTTTATTATATTGGATATATTGTAAAATAAATTATTTTAGAAATAAAACAGTAATTGAATTTTACATAGGACTATGGTTTGTATAGGACAACTTTTCTTGGCATTATTTATGGCTTTATAAACCTGACAATTATTTATGTTACAATTGTTTAGAAGACAATAAATCTTTTTTTAACAATTTAGTCAGACTACTTATAAAAATGAGTAACATAAAAATTATGGTGTAATTTTAATTTCTAATTCCTGTAAAAATTTGATGAGTTTCATCATTTATTTCCTTGAAATTTAGATTTATCATATAGTAAATAAGCAGTTTTCATGGTTATTTTCATGGATAACATTCAAACTACACATCTAAATGCTCTGCTTGCAAGGTTCTAAATATTATTTCATACACATAGTTCCCTTAATTATCTAAAAAAAAGCTTATTCAACTTAAATTCAAAAGTGATATCACAGTGTCAATCAATATGAGACTAAAAGCTGCATTGACAAGAACTTATCTTGCAGCTTAAATGATTGTTTTATCCAAAATAACATGTTCTTTAATACAATCGAAGGTCAGTAGGTATCCTTTTCACGTTACCACTAATTGTGTATATAAATTTACATGTATCTGTCAAAGCAGTTACATTTATAGAACAGGAAGGAGAGCCTTCATTCGACCCAAAGGACAAACCTCTGTCTGGGGCTCGTCAGCCAGACATACCTGTATGAGTTGACGTTCACTGCGGGAGTCGAACCCACTACATTCTGTTACAAACACCACCGCGTTACCCACCTAGTTACTGAGTCATGATAGCTATTTACTTGTGTAATTGGGTGAAGTCTGAATTCACTTGGTACTGTTTACTTGAATCTTCCCATTGCTGTTTACTTTATCATAATAAAAAATTATATCATTTTTCATCAAAAGTCACTAAATGACTATTTAAACCAAATATTTTTTTACTTTTCGTGGGAACGTTTTAGGAAAAAAAGAGTATCACTTCAAAGCATTATTTGTTCTATGAATATTTTAGGATACAAATGATCTGTTTTTAGGGTTCGAGTTCCGGAGTGAATATCGATTATTTGATGTACGTAAATACAGCTGACGAGTCCCAAATGAACGAAACGCACTTTTTGGTTTCCGTTGCTAGTCAACACCGATTTCTGCTTAAACCTAGTTTCTTGCTGATATGGATTCACTATCAGTGTTGATAAAATGAAAAAACTAATTTTTGTCTTAAATATTCAATCTAACATTAAAATGAGATCTTACTCAGTGATTTTCATACAGTCTGAATCTGTAAACTAACTGTAACATATTTCCTTCTTACTATTTGAATCCATTCATATCCAATTTGATGTAAATATCTTAATCGTCCACAAAGTCATTCGTGTTCCAAATAGCTTATTAGTAAACTTTCTAACTACAACGCTGAGTAACATAGCTTTGAATTTCACGAACAGCATCAGTTCCCTCGGAATCGCGGATACTCTTTAGTGTTCAATATCGAGTAGCATGAAACTAATATCTAAGTCTTTCTCCCCATTTGCTTTAGCCAAATGAGAATCACAGTCTGCTTTCTTCAGTATTTAAAGTCTATATATATCATATGCCACATCATTTGGTTCAGATAAAGTGTTTCATGAATCACGTTAAATTATAGTTGATTATTAAATGGGTCAAAAATCAAAACGAATCACATATTGTAATTCTCGCTAGTGGCTAATCTCTTCTAATACACATTGTCACTATTGTATGTAAATGACTGGGTTAACTAGTTCTAAGAGATACTTGAAAGGAAACTAAATATATCGTCTGAATATTTATCATTTGAGAAATGAACATCTGAAATTTTCAATGTACAATACATTTCTCAAAATGGGATTCAGATATTTTGTAACTCATTAACTTGACAGTATTATAAATTTCCATTAAATACTTGGTATCATAACTCAACATTGGGCATCATTTATGATTAACTAGCTCAATTTTTATCAAGTATCTCATTATTCTTTGTGTAAAATATCTACAGGATGCGATTGTTAAGTAGTTGAGCTACTCAACATTCCGTTTACTGGTGTTCTCATTTAAAACCTGATTAATTTATCTTACTTTCAGTAATAGGTAGCAACACTAACCTAAACATAAGGAATTATAAAGCGCATATTTGTATTATGCTACGGTATTGTATCCAATGAATAAAAAAATGAATTTAACCAATTTTCTTTAGAATAAAACAAAATTTTGAGGGGGACATAGTACACTGATAATTTCAGAGTATATTGTGGAATGTTTTCAACTAATTAAAATTATGTTAGTAAAAATTAAGATATCACCAAAAACAACCTGAGCTATGGTTATCTGAAACGATTTCAATGTTCACTAGGTATATCATATCAAACATGGTCAATCACGTCCATTCATTCCATCTGTGAATATTACATTTCACAGTGAAATTCTCATTACATTTAACATGCAATAACACAATTTCACTATATATATATATATATTTCATCTGATATCTTGAATTGTCATACACTGGATATAAATCAAAGAAGAAAGTTGTCAGTATTTGTAAACATTTGAAATGAAATGTTGAATTAAAATTCTACTTTGAAATATACAGTTCATTGATTAAACGAATGCAAAAGAAACTGAATGATAATACTGAATAAAACAAATTCATTGTACATTATAGATAATCTCATATAGTATCATTAATGAATTACTTATTATCTATAATGAATTTCATTTAAACAAAATAAAGTAATATGAAATGAAAACAAAATAACACAGGGGATTAAACTCAAATCAAAATGTGATAAGTATAAAGGGGAAAATCATTCTCATCAAATAACAATTTTAGCTTACAATAATTTATACACAAAATTTAATGTAAATATACATGTAAATAAACGAGTCAACTTTTATGCAAATACATTAAGATACATATAGATATATACTCAAAAGTATACAACATACACACATGTATACACCTATATACTAGAAATGTCAAGAATTAACAGAATAGCATAAAATGACTGAGATGTGAGTGTGGTATATGTTGTTGTTGTTGTGTTTTTTTTTAATGCTTTTTCTTTATTGTTGCCAAAAAAGCAAAGAAAATATCCTTTCATTCTCTTTCCCAAATGAGAATACATGTGCTCTTTCTCATTATTATAGTCATTAATATTACTGTTAATAATAATAATAATAATAATAATAACAGTTTTAGATGGACTTATTGTTTCTAATGTCAAGTGATGATGAGAATCTGTTTTGTGTTTCCATCATCTCTTCATTTGTTCATAAGTAGATATACATTCATATACATATGAAATTAAAGGTCCAGGATACACATTTTTGTAAAAACAATATTTCCATTTTCGGTCTCTTAACTATGTTCACACACACACACACAAACGTACAAACACACTATAAGATGGTCATGTAAGATAAAAATCAATTCAATTTATTATTATTACTGAAACAGATAGTATTGTTCTGAGTCGTTAAGTGTTTGTTTTTTTTCTCATTTTTTTTGTATTTTAGAATCTTTTACTATAT